GCATCACACCCTGCTCGGTGCTGTTTCACGCGTGTGCGTCTGCATTTTCTGTCTCTGTAATCCCACCAACAATGAGTGTTGGTTTTGGTGGCGTTCTGGCTGAGCTTCTTGGTATCACACCCTTAGACCAAACCTTGGAACGCATCTAGTTTGACGCCAGAGTTAAATCACACCAAAGCTCTGATTTATGCTGGTCAACCTTTCAACTCCCCTCAATAAAAAACATTCAGTCTTTTAATCACATCACAAAAACTGTTAAACTGGGTTTGTTTTGCAATAAATCAAGTCATATCACATGTACTGCTTAGGAGTAGTGAAACTATAAGGAAAACAAAACCCTCATGCATAGAAACAAGTAAAACAAGAGGCCTTTGCAGCTCTTTCGCTGCTCGGGCCCAAATAGAATAATCCAGGATGATGGTGGTCATTTAAATAAGGAAAAGTCAGTCATTCTAATTTTTCAAGTGTCCTGTTGTCAACCGTTACTGTACTGAATGGCTAATGAGCCTCATTAACAGAGAAAAATATCCAAATGGTCTTTGATTTAAAGAAAAGCACTTCAAAGAGGTTCTCTGTAAGGTGAGCTGAATGTACAAACATCCTCACAAAATATTTATTAAGTTAAAAGAGGAAAGTAGTCGTTTTGAACGCATGCAGTCTTTTGATCTTACATTTGAAGGTAAATTTGTTGCAAAGAAAAAGGGGCTTCGTCAGCAGTAATGAGGTCACAGCTTTGGTTGGTGGTGAGGCAGGAGCTGAGCTGAAATGCAAAGTGTACAGGTCAGTCCAGCCCTCGTCAGTGGTTTGTAGATTTGGATCAGGACCCAAGTCCTCATACAAGCAACTGAATTGAGCTTCCTCGGTAGGGTGGCGGGGCTTGCCTCTGAGTTAAGGTGAGTATGGCATGGGACTGGAGCCAAAATTAAGACTACATTTATGTTTATTTATTTGGCAGACGCTTTTATCCAAAGCATGTTGTGAACTGTGGAAGAAACCGGAGAACCCGGAGGAAACCCACACATGCATGGGGAGAACATGCAACTCCATGAGAAAAGGCTGCAGCCGGGTTTCGAACCTGCAAACTTCTTGCTGCGAGGCAACAGTGCTAACAACTGCACCAACACACAGCTTCCCTGCTGCAGTAGCTTATACATATTCTGACGCTTGCTAGTCTTAATTTTGGTCCCTATACCACGCCTTAGGGTGAGAAGGTTCATCATCCAGGAGCATCCAATGCAGCTTCTCATCTGCATCAAAGTCAGCTGTGATGGTTCAGGCCCAAACTTTACAGGATTTCTGGACTCATTCCACTAGAGGCTATTTCATAAAATAATGGTGCTACTTTGCCGCAAGCTGAGGCCACGTCAGAAAGCCTTTGGTCATTCATAAGTGGGCAACTTGTGGGGGTGATTTGGTGCAATCATGTGTTTTTCACAAAAGATCACACAATGATGGAATAAAAGGGATGTGGAGGTTGTGTCCGTGCTGCTGACACGCTGTCATGGACATCCTCTTAGCTTGGATGTAACTTTGTTTCTATCGTGAAAAAAGCCACACACCTGAAGTATTTTATGAGCCACTCCTAAAGGTGGCTGTCCTTCTCAGTATCTGTGAACTGAGTAATCTGGTAATCTGTGCTTCAGCTCTGAAGACCAGAAGCTTCAGATCTCTACATCATTCCAGTTTGTAATCTCAGCTGATTCTGTTTACAAATGCAAAGGGACTCATTTTAATGATTGTTGAAGGCCCGGAGGACATTTCAAACATGATCACGACATCACCTTCTTTTGCAAGAAGGTATGATCTTCATTCAAGTGTTCATCATAGCAGTAATATTACTACAAAGCCTGGTGGCACTGATTGCACAATACATTCTCGCCTTGCCATGCCACCACGGCTCTGATATGCTGCCATGGTGCGTCTTCTGAAACCATCTTAGGAGACCTCAGGGCAGACCCATAGTCTGTTGGAGGGATTATGAATCTGGCCTGGAAAGGCTTTAGAATCCCAGGGAAAGGTATGTCTAATTTTTCTATCCCTGTTGTCTCCATTACCTCAAATAAACATCTGAAAACAATTTTCACAATCAAATTTCTTTTCTATTGCTTTATCAGTGATGAAAGGTTACTGGCCATTTTCTCCTACTGCTGCTGAGTTAGGTTGTCTCCATAATTTGTTTCTCTTCCTCATAACAATCTGCATCATGCACGTGTTCTCTTATCATCCCAAGGAAGGGTATGCCACCTCAGCCATTGGAGTCACTCGTACTTACTCCTCATGTCAGTTGTTTTGGAATCCAAACCTAAAACGCTCTGAGCAACTGCAGGTACACCAGTGACTACTCTTGATTACTGCTGGCCCAGTGGCGGATTTAGCAATTTGGGGCCCAAGGCGAACATAGACATGGGGCCCCTTACACTAAATTTTCGACAATCTTATCTTTAACTGGATTAGCGAAACTCTCCCCTCTTCTGCCATGAGTTATTTCCCTTTTTATTTGTCCTCCTCTTTTTTCTTGTCTTTCTCTCCCTTTGAGGGCCTTCTTCTTCCTGTCAGTGCTCCTGTGCTTTTGCCTTTGTTTATTTTTTCAATTTTCCATTTTGGTCTATGTTTTCCCCTCTTTAAACATTTTCCGTTGTCTTTCCTTTCTGCTTCCTTTGATGTTTACATAGAAAAATGACGTCACTTTCGGAAGTGAAGATGGAAGCTTTTTTGAAACAAAGCTGCTTCTTTCTCTTATTGGAGCTACTAGGATAACTCCATTTCATGCTTAATGTTTTGACTACCGCTTCGAGTTTTTACGAACGCTCCCGCCTCTCTTCTTCTTTTTCATATTTGTGGTCTTATGGCACTTGGCAAACAACAATTTGGTGCATTACTGCCACCAACTGGATTGAAGTGGAATGACTACCAATCACTTCCTGTCTGTGCATCGTCGTCTTAAATGAATTATCCATTATGGCATTAACAGAGGGGTGCCGTCAGTCAGGGCTAGGGGCCCCCAACACAAGGGGGCCCCAGGCAGCCGCCAACTTCTGCCTAACGGTAAAACTGCCACTGTGCAGGCCTACATAAAAGAAAGGTAAGATTTGATCTTGTTCACATTTAAACTAAATGCTGGTCAGACGTGTCTTTGTGGGGGATGTGAGTGGAACCTCAGGCTATTATACAGAATAATGCAGGACTAAAACAAATGGACTGTCAGAATGACATGATTCATGAACACAAGTCCAAACTATACCTCCCTGGATATTGCTCAATATATTCCCTCAACGTTTTATTCCTTCTTCTCAGAGACGCAGAACTCGTAGCATTTATGCGGACATAAAGCTGGTTTTATGGAAATCCAGTGGTTGTGTTCTTGATGATTACCGTTTTTGTTTTAACCTAAGTGCCAGTGTTGAACGCAGCTACACACTAATACATATGGACAGTAAATTGGCTCCTTCAGAAAGGTTTTCCTTTGGTGTTAATTGTATTCAGATGTTGCCACAAGCTTCGATCAGGCCTCGAGGTTTCATCAACATCAATAAAACATATATGTAAATTAAATGGAGCTGAACAAATAATTACTCCTCCTCCATCTGTAAGCCTGATGGGAATTCTGAAGGTTTTTATTACAAAAGTAAAACCAAACTTAAAGGTTCATATGTAATGCATGCATTTCTTATGTTACTAATGGAATCTCAGCTCTGTCCTCCAATAAGTCTGCCACTGATCTTGTACTTTTTTGTTGAAGTAATTTATTAAAGAGCCTGTACATAAGCAAAAAGTAAGAATACAGCAGTGCTGTTTATTCATACGGCCCCTGCGACAAAGATGCTTATAACATACAAGAATACAGAATGTTGTTGAGCCAGAGTCTGTTTAATTTATTTCTTTTCCCAAGGACACAATTTGGAGTTACGTAACCTCTCAGGTTCAAAAATTGAACCTTAAAGTAACAAAGCATATCTTTACTGTGGTCTAAAGTTGTAAATTTAAATTCAGGGCTGCACATACACTTAGCAAGTGAGTACCCAGCATTGTTAACTCACCCCATAACTATTTTAATACTCTAGTCTGTTTGGAAATTCACACTCTGGAAAATAAAATCTTTGTTAAAACTATTTTTGAGATGTATGCTCTCTTTGAATGAGTTTAAAACACAACTTAAAAATTCACAATTATGAATTGGTTTGTTAATTTAGTTTTATTTACTCTTTTTACACCATTAGTGCTATATTATAATAATAACAATAATAATAATAATAATAATAATAATAATAATAATAATAATAATAATAATAATAATAATAATAATAATAATAATAATATGCTGGCTGGTCCTTTATTTTTAGATGTCATTGCTGTGCTTTCCCTACACACACACACACACACACACACACACACACACACACATATATATATATATATATATATATATTCATTTATTTGCTTCTATAAAAACAAAATAAAGAAATTAAGGTCTTCCTATTTCTTATGAGATCATATTTTTGTTTCTTTTCTAATTATTCAGAAAAGCCTTTTTATGTTTTCCCTTTCACCTGCAACACAGTCCATGCTATTGGAGAGGCGCTTCTGTACATGATGACTCGGAGAGGCGGGCAGAGCGCGCGGATCCCGCGTCAGGAGTTGAACAGCACTACCTGCTGGTCAAACACGAGAACTGCAGGTTGGGGAGTGAAATTTGCTGACATCCTAACTCCGGCTCACGCTCACGTGTAGCTGTTCTCTCACAGTTTCATTTGTGAGGCAACCATTACTCAGCATCCTCAGCTTAGAGCCAGTCCCCTCTCTTGAAACCTTAAAGTAGAGGAGGTGGGATTGGTCCATCACTGAAAGTGGATCACGTGCACCCGCCTCTGGAGTTTGAATGAGTTTGGATGAGTGCCTTTCTTAACTCTGCCGCCTTCTCCTCACCCGGCTCGCTCCTCCTTACACCCCCAAAACCTGCCCCCCTCTCCTATTAAAACCACACGCCAATCTGCTGTAACCCGGTAAAAGAGGGGTTCTTCAGCCGCAGCAGCCAGAAAGGAGGCTCCTGACGCACACACACACACACACACACACACTCCCACTCTTGCACACACGCACACACACACACACACACCCGCCTGGAAGATATCAGACAGCTGAAATAGCGGCAGAAGGGAGATTTTGGCCACTTCTGTGCGCTCTGTAACCTGGGTGCTAGGAGAAACTAAAACATGGCCCCTGGAGAGATGAAATAGGATTATTTCATTCATTTAAAGACATAACTGGAAACTTTTTAAACAATATAACACATGCTGTCAATATTTATTTTAGACGTTTTTATTTAGTAACTTTTCAATAACTTAAACTGACTGAATCTCATCAAAGTTAACGGAGAACATTTTTTTTACCATTTCATTCGTATTTATCCCGTTTTCATCCCGAAGGCTGAATGATGCCAGGGTTTACTAACATGCTCGCATTCGGACACCGGAGACACATGGTCCTTCTCTGCGGACTGGACGCAGTTTGAGTGCTCCTGATTATTCTCACCACACCTTAAGGATCTTTTTCCCCCAACTTTTTTATTTTATTTTATTTCATTTCATTTCATTCATGAGGACTTTACTGAGCGGATTCATGAGAGTCAGTGCCTCTCAAACTTTGTTGCTGCTTGTTTCACTTGTGGATCGGAGCTGACCGGATCTCTGCTGGAAGACGAAGAGGACAGCATCTGCTTCAAGGTAGGCAGCCGGTACCACCGGTACCAGAACCATCTGATAAATGTCTTATGTTATCAGAACAGCTGTCATTTATCACGCGATTATTCTGATGCTAAAGGACAAAATTATTATAAATTTGGAAAACTAATAAAAAGTGTCTAATGTCCACCTAGGAACAGCATAGAGGTTTATGTTTCAATCCGCCGCAACAAGTAGTCCCCATAACTAACCCTGCATCAATGGGATCAACTATTTACCGGTTTATTAAAATTTTAGAAAAATTACAAAAATATATGTTGGCTCTAAGACGTTTTAATCTTAAATCACACAAACATGCATTTAATGTGCATTTGTGGAAATATGTTCAAAAGATCTGGAGGCGAAATTTAAGCAAATTTCTGACAAATCTTGTGTCATCCTCTGAAGTTTTCTGAGCCAATGAAAACGCTGGATTCAGAAACTTGTGGCTGAAGCGCGTAATTTGATCCCTGCTCATGAACACAGACTCAATAATGTTTAGTGCTCATGTTTGGACACTGGTTTAACTGGTGCTAATGGTGGTTTTGATGTGTGGGGACAGCACTCACCTCAGTGAGATGGTCGGACATGCTGAAGAAAAAAAACATTAAATTGAAGAAGACAGAAATACAGTAGTATGCTGCTGCTGCTGCTGCTGCAGATGATGATGATGATGAAATACTAAAAATAGAAAATTACAGACACCTGTTTATGAAGTCATAAACTACATTTATTTGTTCAGATGTGAGTATCTAGTAACTGAAAGGTAACTGGCCTATTACTTCTTACTGGTGAGTCTAAGTATTCAAATGTATGTTAATACGTTAGTTTTAACTCAATTTTACTTTGACAGATGTTTTAAAGTTAGTTATTAATGTGTGTTCTAACTCACATTATTATGTTTAAATGTTCTTTATGTCAAGTCTAACACTCCAAGTCTCTCACTAGATTAACATTAACAAATCTGAAGGAACATCTGTTTGACATCTTCACTTCCTCTGTCCACCTACTCTGACCTCGCTGTGTGTTAGCCTAGCCTGTTGGCTCAATCGCTGTATAGCCCACACAAGGAATGCCCATCTGTGAGTTGGCTGCCCTGGTATTCCTGACATTTATCCCACACGTGGAATCTACTTCCTACTGACCTGGCTTATAGATTCATGGGACATTTTCATACCTAAACTTACATAAGGAGACTCACCACGCCACAATAACTCGTTTCTAATGGTAATGCGAAAAACAGATGCACACCAAACGCTGTCTACGTAATTGGTGTTTGTGTGAACTCTGTGTATTCATGAATGGAGCCAAACTAAAACAAACTGCTCCTAATCCCAGCCCTCCAGGGTGTTCCCCTGCTGAGACCAGGAGCTCCGTAACCAAGGTGGTCGCATTCTGATGTGTTCAGATGGAATATTTGAAGTTCCAGTCAACTGTTGCTGCTGTCAGACATGTAGAAAAGCAACACTGGTGCTGTGTAAAAGTCACAGAGAAGTGCAGATTCATCAGTTTTCTTCCACAGAGAGAGCACTCAGCAGTTTACTACTTAACACAGGAAGGCGCTCCATGGCTGGCCTCCATTAGGGCCCACAACAAGTCTCATGTGCCGCTTCAGCTCCCAGCAAGGGTCCTAAAGTGCCTCTGGGCATCCCACCGCCAACCACCGATGCAGGAGAGAGTGGGTCGCCCTCCCCTCAACACACCTACCTCATGTCTCCTGTTATAGTTTTTTTTCCAGGTTCCAATTAGTAGAGTCCAGCAGCACCACAGCCAGACAGTAAAATTAGTCATTTGGATGGATGCGAGAGAGGTTTGGAGTTAAATTCCCACTACGTCATGCTGAGCCCCACAGAGTATCACAGAGAGGGTAAATGCCAGCACACACCGAACACTTAAACAGGATTTTGGAGTGCGTTTAGCTGTTCAGAGTTTTTTAAATACACATTTAGTGATCTTCCTGTGTCTAAGGGTAAGGGCCTTAGTAACAAAGCTCAGTGGCCTACTGGTATGAGTGTCTGCCCTGAGACTGGGAGGTTGGGGTTCAAATCCCGGATGGGTCGTACCAAGGACCTTAAAAATGCAACCCAATGCTTCCCTGCTTGACACTCAGCTTTAAGGGGTTGGATTGGGGTTTAAACCACCCGATCGTTCCTGAGTGCATCTGTGTCTGCAGCCCCCCACTCCCCACAGGGATGGGTCAAAATCGGAGAACACATTTCACCACATACCAGTGTGTGTGTGACAACTTCTACTTCATCAGTAAATTAAATGTAACTGTTTCAGACATATAGAATCTTCTCATTGGTCAAGAACATTCAGGAGTGACATTTGATCCTGAATCAGATGTAAAGTATGAATGAAGAGCAAACAGCTGTCCACACAAAGCAAAGGCAGCAGAAGGGAGGAATCTTGGCTGCATCACCTCTGAAACATCTGGATTCTCAGAGTCTGCCACAGTTGGTGGAGCTCCAGGCCCTCAGCTGGTAGTGGACCAGGCCAAGTCCACCAACCGGTCTTCAGCATGCAGCTCCCTCTGACCCAGCCTGGACACATTTTAAATGAGACAAAACACATATTTACTCAAAGCTAATCAAAAAGACCAGCGTAACCAAGTATATCTGAATCAGACCATGGTATAGGAAGAGGGTTGATGGATTTCCCAGTCAGAATCAATCAAGATGATGACGTGCAAACACAATGATGAAAATATTAAAAGTACAGATTAGTGCAAAGATGATGTTTCTGCATTTATCGCCTCATCCAACCCGGGAGTTAGGAAGCAGACAGAAGACACCAACAGAAAGGAAAAGGGATTTGCAGATAGCTGAACCGTTGATCCCTGTTGTGGTTCTGTCCATTTAATTCTGATCATGTCAGTAGCCGTGTGTTGTCTCTCAGTGGGTGGTGTGTATGTCTGGTTCTGGCTGTTAGAATGACAAATCTCCCACATCAGCGGGTCTGCGTCTGCAGAGGAGCTTCATGAATGGAAGGAAGGGAAAGAACAGGATAAACGGGCGGAGTGTAGGGGGTTCTGACCTTCTGGCTCCGGCTTTAAAAATTCACTTGACCTTTCAGCTCGTTCACAGATTTTCACTCGCATCAGAGAAGTCTACGTGTGCAGCTTTCTTTAAATGGTACCATTTATGGAGCATTAATCCATTCGTGAGCCCACTGAAGTTTGATTTTTAATCTTTTTTGAGTCATCTTGAGGAAGAGTTCACCGGGCTTCTGGAGGATCTGTCAAAATGAAGAGTTTCTTTTTTAGTAACTTGAAGTTTTCAGAAGAATCACAGAACTCTGACCTACGAATCATGCAAGCATAACAGAAAACCATCAACTCGGTGGTGTGTATACATACCAGACGCTTTATCAAAGAAACACTTATATATTGTATCTGTAGGAACTTTGTTAATAACAAACCTCTAATAACACACGTTGTTCTGGATCCTCATGGGAACTGTGTGTAATATCTATTAAAATACTTTGATCTGTGAACAAAAACAAAGATAACAGTTTGACAGGCACAAGATTGTATTAATGCACCAACAAGGGTATTTACAAAGAGCTGCTTTCCTATCACTGAACACTATTCCTCTGGGATCCTGATTGTCTGAGTATTATTCTTTTATCTTAGGCCTGTTACTTGCTTTCATCTTCCACTTCTCCAGTTTGTTTTGTTTTAGAAAGACTGCAAATAAAATCACATTAGATATTTCTTTTGTTAGAAAGTGTGAAAATTTCATATTTTCTTGCTAGTTTGTGTCTCCAACTAGTCATAGCCCTGAGAGAAACTGTCTACTGGATCAATCAGAGACCACTACCCTTGGGCTGGAGTATCAGTTTTCATCCATCCATCCATACGTCTGTCCGTCCATCCATTTTCCTCTGCTTATCTGGAGTCGGGTCGCGGAGGCAGCAACCTAAGCAGAGAAGCCCAGACCTCCCTCTCCCGAGCCACTTGGGCTAGCTCCTCTTGGGGAATCCCAAGGTAATCCCTGGCTAGCCGAAAGACAGTCCCTCCAGTGTGTCCTGGGTCTTCCTTCAGTTCTCCTCCCGGTTGGACGTGCCTAGAAAACCTCACCAGAGAGGCATTCATGAGGCATCCTAATCAGATGCTAGAGCCACCTCAACTGGCTCCTCTCAAAGTGGAGGAGTAGCAGATCTACTCTGAGCCCCTCCCAGATGACCAAGCTTCTCACCCTCCTTCTCGCAAAGGGAGAGCCCAGCCACCCTGCTGAGAAAACTAATTTCAGCCGCTTGTATCTGCGATCTTGTTTCTTTCGGTCACTACCCAAAGCTTGTAACAATAAGTGAGGTAAGAACATAGATAGACCGGTAAATGGAGAACTTCGCCTTCTGGCTCAGCTCTTTCTTCACCACGACAACACCAACAACATCATTGCAGACGCACCTATTGATCTCACGCTCCATCTTTCCCTCACGTGTGAACAAGACCCAGAGATGCTTAAACTCCTCCACTTGGGGCAGGACCTCATCCCTGACCTGGAGAAGACATTCTACCCTTTTCTGTCTCAAGACCATGGTCTCTGATTTAGGAGCTGATTCTCATCCCAGATGCTTCACACTCAACTGCAAACTACTCCAAAGCTGGAGATCACATTCTGATGAAACCAGCAGGACCATATCATCTGCAAAAAGCAGAGGCCTGATCCTTAGGCCACCAAAACGGATCCCCTCTCCACCTTGGCTGTGCCTAGAAATACTGTCCATAAAAGTGATGAACAGAATCGGTGACAAAGGGCAGTCTTGGTGGAGTTCAGCTCTCACCAGGAACGAGCTCGACTTACTGCCGGCAATGCGGACCAAGCTCTGACACTGGTCATACAGGGACCTAACCGCCCATATCAAGGGGCCTGGTACCCCAATCCAAGGAAACTACCCCCAGTGTCCAGGCAGTATTGGAGAGCTCCTCAACGTCCAGAGCCACTCTGAACAAAAGTGGTAGCAATTCATCCCTGATTAATCTTTTCAGGTCTGAGATATTTGGAATTATATCGATCTGTTTGCAAGCCAAAGTGATAATTTGAAATTAGGCATGAATTGAAAATCAAGTCTCATCCAAGCAGATGAGACTTGATACATTGTCAATTTGTTTCGCTTGCACCGTTCAATTGTTGAATCTCTCCCATCAGAAAAGTACCACATAGCACATTTCCATGTGTAAGGCTTTTGAACTGCACCCTGGCTTTTCCTATGTCAGTGGAACAGGATGCTCTTGAGATTTCCAGCGTGTGCATGACCTAAACAGGATTTCTATCACATCAAAGTTGGCAACTGTTTGGAATGAAAACTCTTAACAGGAAGTGATTGTTTTCAGATTTTTTTATCTGTTTACATGAATTTCAAATTGACTTGTTATTGTCTGAAGGATAACTTTAGATTTACTAAATCACTCATCCTGCTTAGTCTTGGTCTGTTTTCATGACCAGTGCATGGCTGCCAAGTGTAGGTTGTCTCAGGAAACAAAAACTAAACTCATCTGGACTTAGTGGGTGATTTGTGAATGTGTCAGCTGCAGCCAGTGACTGCTGAGATGCACTAACATAAAGAAAAAGGCTTTATGCTATGTGTGGGACCAGCATGCTGTCTCTTTTTGGCTCTGCCTCAGATTTATACTCTGTAAGCCATGCAGTAACCATACACCCTCACACACCTATGCATCACAGCTGCTGTCTGGTGAGTCTTGTTATATTTTACGTTCCATCCCAGGTCTCAGACTGGAACCCTACCGAATGAGATTCCACTGCTCTCATGTGAGTTCAGTCAAACCCTCTCCTTTCTCCGCGCGCGCGCGCACACACACACACACACACACACACACACACACACACACACACACACACACACACACACACACACACACACACACACACACACACACACACACACACACACACACACACACACACAAACACACATTGGGCGAAACATGTCATGCTCTTTGATTCACATAAATGCACTCCCTCCTGCAGCTATGACCAGTTCTCAGCAGCAGTCAGACTTAATGACATTCACATTTGTTGAGACATGGAGGACGCGCTGTATATCTGACAGCAGCTTCTTATGCAACATTTGGAGGTTCTTTTGACTCACTTTGCCAAATCACCGGTCACTCTCAAGAACCACATTAGGTCCTTCTTTGGCATTGCTCTATAGGAGAACCAGCATGTTTGTTCTGCTCATCTGTTTAGGGGGTTAAATGTGAGGAGATTCTCAGACTGAATAAAAGGAGCAGACCCTATGTGGTGCTAAAAGTTTCATCCATCCATCCATCCATTTATCCATTCATCTGTACATCAATCCAATCATTCATCCATCTATCCAATCATTCAGTTGTCCGTTCATCCATCCATCCAATCATTCATCAATTAATCCATCCATCCATCCATCACACATAGAAACAGACAGCTTTTAACCCTCTGGAAGCAGGCGTTGAAGATTTGCAACGTTAAAACCTACCTACCTGGTTACTCCACATGCGTATTTCATGAGCATCTTTTAAATCAGAAGTACCCCTGAAGGACTTAGTTGTTCATCCTTTTATCAAAACTTATGTTGAGCCTGAGAGGGTTAACCCTCACTCAAACATAGGACCAGTTTAGAGTAGTTAAAAAAAGTCTGTGTACCACTGGGCCTAGACTGATGCCAACAGCCTACAAGCAGAATTAATGAAGAAATCAACCAAATGTCTTAAATGTTCCTGGAGATTATTAATGCATGGGACACGGGGCCTCTCTCTTGTGTTGCTTGAATTTGGAACATCATGAAACACTAGAAAAACAAACATTGTGCCACCGAGTCGTGATGGGTATCTGAAACCTGCCTGCAGCCTTTTTCAATTTTGTTTCTGTGACATCATTTGTGCAAGAAATGTGTAACAACCAGTCAGTCAAAGGTTTGACTAATCAGTGACACAAATAAGTTCATACAGTTTGAAGATGACATAATGCAAAAGTTATTAGGATGAATTGTGAAAGAATTAGACACTTTGTGACTAAACTGTGACATGATAGTTAGAATCTTTAGGAATGCAACAAACCATTGTCAGTTTAGAACCAAAGTGTGATTTTTTTTATTATTTCCACAAAAATTATTAGTTTTTTCATGAATGTCGGCATGGACAACAGCTAAAACAAATATACATGTTTTGGGGTTGTGGGAGGAAAGCTGAGAACCAGAAGAAAAGCCATTCATGGACCAGAAGAACACGCTAATTCTTTACAAAAAGTCCAAGTCAAGAATCAAACACGGGTCATTTCTGCTCTGAGGTGGCAGTGAAACCCACAGGCCCATTGTGCAGCACAAACCTAATCTAAGATGTTGTTTAGATGTGTTTGCATGTGCAGCACTTTCTCTAATGTGAATGTGGATGGTAGCATAAACCATACATGATTGCCATCACCACGTTTACATTAGACAACATTTCCACTATAACTGCCCTAACTCTGAAATGTGTGTGGAGAAGAAACCTGCAGACTGAACTGATGGAAATCTCATCACTTATTTCTTTTCTTTGCCAGTAGCTCCCAAATCTTCAGAAACCAAAGTCCATGGCATCGATTACCTACCCAATGTTAGAAGAAGCAGTCTGAGCCAAATAGATTGTTTTGGTCTTTTTCATTTGTGGCATGAAGAAGATTTTTCACATCTCAGAGCCAAAACACCTCGGGCTCTGAGATGTGAAAAATCTTTAATCTGTCATGTTTATCCGTCGTTCTGGCTTATCAGTAAATCCAATCAAACTACACTTAGCTTCAGCAAATTTCATATGTAATGCTTGTTATTTTGCAGAAATTGGTTTGTTGCTATGCTGCATGTACACAGTTTAGCTCATTCAAAGGAATGTGATAAAACATTATCATAATAATAATTATTATTATTATTTGTACAAGTCTGATATTAATGCTGCTGTTTTCGTGAAAAAAAATCAGATTCAGTGCTTTTTTTTTAAAAAAAAAGCTATGAAGTCTCATGAAAGGGCCACTTGCAATTTCTTTCAAATAATTTATTCGTTCATTTGTTCGTTGGTAATTTGGAGGAGTCATGAAAAATTTTACCCAGGGGACTGCTTGATAACGTCAGAATGAGACTGCTAAAACATCCAACCCAAGGTCACCACAGGGCTGAGCACACACACACACACACACACACACACACACACACACACACACACACACACACACACACACACACACACACACCTACACACACACACACACACACACACAACCAAAAAGGAGATAGTGAGGGGAATCTATCTCTTCCATGCACCGAGACATTAAAACAAACAGAAAGTGCGGGTGATATCATCAAGTGTTAATGACATCCCCAACTTTCTCAGATACATTGTGTTTTCTGACACGCAAAAGATCTCATCAGGGGCCTTATCTCACATGGGCTGGAGCCAAATCTAAAGGACCACAATTACAGATTTTTTTCTTCTGCCTGCAGTTAATCTTCTCATGGTCTGAGCTAATTGTTAGTTTGACCTCTGCAGGATATCACACACCCAAAGTAGCAGATGCAATTCTACAAAAAGCAGCTCATCCTAATGTTTAATCAGCTGGCAACAAGCAGACAACAAGATTTGCACGGCTGTGAAACATAAGCTAAATACTAATTAGCTAAATGTACTGATGGGTTATCAGTAAAGTTTGGAGAACAAACTAGTAAAAAGTGTGAGCACTTTTTGAAATGGTTCTGGTGTTAGCTTAATTTCTTATGTTTTATCTTTTTCATTTATAAATTAGCCAGAAATGTGGATCAGAGCTCAATCAAAATCATGAACTGCAAGTTGTAGCTACAACACATTCAGGAAAAGGATCGGGAGATAACTGATGAGGCAAAATACATAAAAAGCCTACAAATTTGGTTTACTTTGACACAGCATTATCTGGTGCTGCCATAATGCTGTGTAGCTCCATTTGATTCACACCCAATGAGATCCAAGCCAGACTAGGCCTTGACCCAAAAGCTTTACACCAAGACTCTTCATTAAAGGCACACTTGGCAGTTAGGCTAGCTTTTAGCACCCCCTAGTGTCTGTTTCGTAGAACCAAAAGTAAAATTTATATGCTGACTGTGCGCTTGTCTTCTTAACACCTTAATCTAAAAACTGAAATGTATCCCTAGCCTTCATTGGGAGCGACTCATCACTAAATTGAACAAATCATCAGTGTTCATGATCTAAAACATGCAGGAAACGTGCTGCAGCACCAGGTATGTCAGCTCCGTTTTTTCTACGTCCAACAGGAGGCAGCCACAGGGGGCGGCAGAGGTCTGAGTGACATTTCATTCATTTAAAAGGGTCATTTTATCACATACTAGCTCAAGAAAATTATGTAAAAATATGAAAAGTTGTACAGTCTTTAAGTCTCTAACTCATTATCAAAACGACTCATCATGACACTGCTGTGTTAGCCTATTAGCATTTAGCTCTCTGCTGCACCTGTTGTGTATGTAGTGGATGTACTGAGATGTTTCTGCGGTTTTCTTGCATTAAATAACCGACACATGAAGCTTTTGTTAGAAATGCACCACACTCTAAAGATGACAAATTGTTTTCTGCCATTTTTTGGGGAAAAACACCTGGTCACAAAGCTTTGACATAGGAAGAATAATCAACTTACAAAACAAAAGTTATTACTGACAGTAAATTAAGAAGTCAGTCCAAATATTCATGTTTTATTTCATTTTAGTTTGACTAAGACTTCTGCAAGAATCTCTACATAGTCTTTAAAACATCTTGGGAGGTGATCTTAGGGCCCTTTTTTCACAGAGTCCTCCCGTTAACTGGTGAATGATGAACGTAGGGTATTTATACAAGCTGAAATTTTCATGATGCCAGGTTAAATCCATTTCAATCGTCATTCTTTTCTGCATGTCTTTCAATGATGCATGGCCTGCACCAGACATGCTCTTGTGAAAAAAAGAGTAAGCAATGTGGGTAGAGCAGCATACGGTCAATACATGTCAACAAGTTGTTTTTTCAGACAAGTGTTGAGTTCATTCAAAGTTGATGAGCGGATGCAGGATGACAGAGTTTGGTCTCCAAACCAATCTGTGTACATGAGATTCCTTAAGCAGAAGCTGAAGGAGCTTGGTCTGACTCACATATAGAGTGTACTCTCAGATACAGACTGACTTTTCTCACTGCTATAATAAGTTTAAAAAAATGAACATTAGTGTGTAAGTGTGTGTGTGAATCAAGGGTCTTGTAAACGAGTGGTTGACGCTAACAGCCTTGCCACGTGCCAGAGGAGGCCTGCTCTGCTGGTTGTGGTCTACTCGTCCAGTGATCAAATGAACAGTGCTTTATGTCTGAGCCAGTGTGTGTGTGTGTGTGTGTGTGTGTGTGTGTGTGTGTGTGTGTGTGTGTGTGTGTGTGTGTGTGTGTGTGTGTGTGTGTGTGTGTGTGCGTGTGTGTGAGCACGTGTGTGTGTGTGTGCTTGTACAACTGTCCTACTTAGGACCAAAACCTGGTCCTCTACTGTTTTAGGGCTTAGCGGTGAGGTTTAGTGGTAAGATGTGAATTAAGTTTATGTCACAGTTAGGTTTAAGAATACACTGGTTAGGGTTAGGGTTAGGCATAAATGCAGTTACAAAAATTCATGGAAGTTAATACAAAGTCCTAATATGGAAAGAAATACAGACTAGTGTGTGTGTGTGTGGGTGTGTGTGTGAGCACATGCTCTCAGGCTCTAAGAGAATCTTGCTTTCTTTTCCTTCTTTTCTGTTTATCAGGCTGCTTTACCCAAATCATTATTTTTCCTACTGACTTTTCCTTCCCCTGTCATTCCTCTCCCATGTCTCTAGAAACTCCTCTGTTCTGCTTTCTGAATGCTCCTCTTCCCCTCCCTGCATCTGTCGTTTGAGTTTAGGACTGGCATGTAGGTTTGCTGCCAAATCACAAACACCACTTGGCTCTTTGTGCACTTTCTTTTTTCGATTACTTTATTTGCCCGATTTACGTCTTTTTGGTTTTAACAACTTGCATAACTTACATGTTGTCATATATGTGTTTTTATACATTAATCCCACTTAATCCATACCAAATGGTGAAGTAAATCCAGAAAGTGCACCTAAATGCAGCTCAAAATGCTAAATTATGTCAAACAAGCAGGCACCCCACTGTGTCACTGACTCGGTAGTATTAGAGCAAGAGGTCACTGGAGGAAGTTATTTTCCTGTAATCGTTTTTGTAAGAAATCACAGAAGGGAAGAAGCATTTGGAAAGCACAAGAACATTTAAAAGTTCTTGTCTTCTTCTTCCCACGGAGATATAAACAGATGACATCACAGGGTGGTCCGCTCCGCGTTGAGCTGAGTCGAGCCACGCTGAGTGGGTCTCTGCTGGTCTGCCAAACAGATGTTGGTAGCGACATAATGAGGGCTGGGAGCAAAATCCAGGAGTTTGAGCTGGAGACTTTTGCGGCTGGGTCCAGGAAGGATCAGACACAGAAAGCAGAGGACAGTCGTCAAAGTTATCAAAGAGTCTTATCTTTCATTGGCTAGGTCTTTGCAGAATTTAATATATATGCAGACTGAGTCTAAATACTTTGTTTACCAGGAAAAATGTAGCAAATATTGTAATGATTGTCACTTACGAAGCTCTCTCACATTCAGACTTTGTGGTTGGGGTGGTTGGCAGCAGTAGTCAGCTAGATGATTAGGTCAAGAAATCCTGCAATGTTCTCCAACCCAAGGGTAGCTGGAACAATCAGCTGACATTTAGGTTCATTTTGGAAAAGAGTGGTGAAAGGAACAGAGAGGAGGAAGAGGTACAACGAAAGAAATATTTTCTGTACCACAGTTCTTGCCACCCAAAGATGTGTCTGATACAAATACATGAAATGTGGGCAAAACAATAAACATTAATTGGAACTTTAAAGCAATTGTGCTTACTAAAATAATTCATGGGTGTTTTCTTCCTCCTGCTGCTCAGCTAAAGTAATGTCATGTGCAACAAGCTTTATTTGTATAGCACATGTCATACGCAGGAGCAGTTCAACGTGCTTTCTAGGTGCAACATCAGCAAGAACATGAAACTTACAGTGAACGCAGCAACATAAAACAGCAGCTCATGAAATCAAATACACAAAAACATTTAATGTAAGAAATAAAATATAAAGGCAAAGAAAGAGTGAGCGGTTACAGTGCAGCACAAGAAACATTCATTTAAAGGCTGATGAATACAAAAAGGTTTTCCTTTAAAAGTTACTAGAGTTGAGGCACATTTGAGGTCATGAGGAAGCTGATTCCATCTGTGAGCAGCATAGTAGCTAAAAACAGCTTCACCCTGTTTGGTTTTGACCCGAGGTTCTACCAGCTTACTGCTTCCTAAGGATCTGAGAACCCTGCTGGGTGTATATACAGGAAGGAGACCCAACATGTATTCTGTCCCCATACCATTGATTGACTCATAAACTAGTTGGAGAACTTTGAAATTGATTCTGTGGTTTACTGGTAACCAGTGTAGAGACCCAAGAACAGGAGTGATGTGCTTGGTTCTCTTGGTTGCTTCACAGCTGTTTTGGGTAGTCCAGTTAAAAGACAGTTGCAGTAGTCCAGCCTGCTGGAGATGAACGCATGAAGAAGTTTCCCTAGGTCTGGTCTGGAAACTAGACCCCTGAGTCGTGCTATGAAGGTGATTAAATGCTGATGTAGTCATAGCCATGTGACCAGTGAAACTCAGGTCTGAATCTATTATAATGCCAAGATTTCTAACCTGGGTCTTTGTCTTTATTCCTCTGGAGCCAAGCTGAGCAATAACCTCCATCCTAACCTTCTAATTTCCTAAAACAATAACTTCAGTTTTGTATGAAAAGTAGCCTCAGGGCAAATCTTGGCATATTTACATTCATACGTTCATGAATATACATTTTCCCTTTCAGATAAACAAATAAATAAAATAAATTTCTTTAACTGGAGGAAATCTGACTGCATCTAGTCATTAACTTGTTCCAAACACAGACAGTGATTACAGGGGACCACAGTCACTAGGTGATAGAGCTAGGTAGATCTGGGTGTCATCTGCATAATAGGTAATGCTGTTGTTGTGTGACCTGACTCAGGGGGAGTACGTACTTTTTGAAGTGCAGCAGTTCAAGAATCAAACCTTGGAGGACCCAAATGTCATGGTGATCAGCTTTGATTTGTGATCAATAGTAACAACATAATCCCTGTCTTCCAGATATGATGGGAATCAGGTATGGGCTGTGCCTGATAGTCCCACCCAGTTTATGAGCCTATCAAGATGGATGTTGTGGTCTACAGCATAGTTTTATGCTGTGATGTGACGTATCACTCATTTAAACAAACTTAACTTAATATTTTTGTCCATAGATGAAGTGCCACAAGGTCCTGACCTGTCTGAGGATATTTGGGACCACCATGTTTGGCGTGTCTCTTCTAGTAGGCATCTCCACTGCCTACATCATGGGCTACCAATTCTTCACAACAGCCCACAATCACCTATCCTTTGGCTTGTATGGTGCTATCTTGGTCATCCACCTCATCATCCAGAGTCTCTTTGCACTTCTGGAACACCGAAACATGCGGCGCTCCGTAGAGACTCCCATTAAACTCAACAAATCCTTGGCATTGTGCATTGCAGCCTATCAAGAGGACCCGAACTACCTGAGGAAATGCCTGGTGTCTGTTAAAAGGCTGACATATCCAGGGATAAAAGTGATCATGGTAATCGATGGGAACACAGACGATGACATGTACATGATGGAAATTTTTAAAGAAGTCATGGGATGGGACAAATCAGCCACCTATGTTTGGCGAAGTAACTATCACAACAAAGGCCCTGGAGAAACTCACGAGAGCTATGCTGAGAGCCTTCAGCAGGTGTCCAGGCTTGTGCTGAACAACAAGTGTGTATGCATCATGCAGAAGTGGGGAGGGAAGAGAGAGGTCATGTATACAGCCTTCAAAGCACTGGGGAGGAGTGTGGACTACGTTCAGGTAAGATTCATACCTATAGATCATACATACAGTTGATAAATGAAGAAAAGAAACAGTGTAAGTTAGTTTGCGTGGCATGTTGTCACAAGAAGCATGCATCAAGCACAGAGGAATAGGGAGCAAAAAGAGATGTGGTTGGAGAAAAGAAGAGGGGGCAGTGCAAAGCCAAACACAGGGTCCACAAAGAGTCTTTTGTGTTGCGCTTTGGCAGACGGTGGCTGGGCGCATTGTGATGTGAAGTGAGGCGTGAAAAAGGGCAGCAGTAGCTGATGTCTAAGTGTAATAACATATCAGTTTCACAAGGCTGAGGGTTACATCACCTCTGTGAATGATAGACAAAGTTAGACCTAGAAACCATGTTCAACAAAAGCTGTGTATGTATTGCTCTCTAACAAAGAAATGTTTGGGAACGCTGCATTATCATAGATTACATGTTTGGTAAACAGGACACCAGAACAAAATACAGAAGATGATACGAAAGCAAGATGAGTGCCCCCTAGTGGCTGGTTGCAATAGTTTAATGTCTTGCCTCTGCATGCAAACCAGCTGGGCTTTTTCCTGACACAAAAATAAAAGAACAGCTTAGATCATTTATTTTCTAATGCTACTGTGTGTATTTATAACATGTAAGCATCCATGGATTTACTTCCAGTCAGCTAAAGTTGTGTAAAAGAAGTCTATGGATGACAACACAGTGGCTAAACTTTAGCCATACTTGCCGTACGTGTCATTCATGCAAGAGTTGTTATCATATATCATAAAGCAGCAACTCCTCTAGAGTAACAAAATCAGAACTCCAGCAAATCTTCAATAGGAAAAATCTGTATTTGAGGCTTTGCAGCTCAAACACCTGCAGTGGGCTTCTGTCTGCCAGACACCACTTGTTAACAGCTAATTCAAAGGCCTGATTGCAGCACTGCCAGAAGTCATGCCAGTGCTCTACAGCATTTTGGGATTAGAGAAAAAGCCTTGAACTTTTGTACTAATCTGACTCTGTGTAGAACAGATTCCTTTGTTGATGGGTATTTGGCACCACCTTTGTTTTCAGCGCAGTTACCTTTTATAGAAGAAAACGAGGAAAGCATCAGTGAGATAGTGGGTGGCAAGTAAAGATAAAAGCAGGTAATGATTGTTGTGGGGGATTAAATACAGACCATACAGTTTATATTATGTAAGACGGTGTGTATGTCATGTCTAACATGTTCACTTTACTTCAATTCAGTTTAGTTTATTCAAAAAGTGCCAAATTACAACAAAAGTCGTTTCAAGGCACTTCACAAAGTAAACATTCCAATATAAAGAGATACTCATACTAAGCAAGCATGTAGTGAAAGTAGAGAGGAAAACTCCCTTTTAACAGGAAGAAACCTCCAACAGAACCTGGCACAATAGGAATGGCCATCTGCCACCACTCACTTTGAGACGACAGAGGGGACAGACACGCACACACACACACACACACACACACACACACACACACACACACACACACACACACACACGCACGCGCACACACACACGCACGCACGCACGCACACACACACAACATTTATTACAACTGTTCCAATCTGGTTGAACATGACTACTCAGCAGGATAATTGCTGTTTCCTGACTTAAATGTGTGTAGATCCCTAGAACCCTACTGCTACTACAAGATAGTGTTAAAGTATGTATTTCCCCTCAGGTGTGTGATTCCGACACCATGCTGGACCCAGCATCGTCAGTGGAAATGGTGAAGGTTTTGGAGGAGGACCCAATGGTGGGAGGTGTTGGAGGAGATGTACAGGTACATGAATAAAAGTACATTTCGTGTTTTGACACATTGAGAACCAAAGTACTTTACATTAAACAAACATATTGTTTGCCTGTTTTAAAACTGAACATGTTTATGTTTGTTACAAATCTTTCTGTAGATCCTGAACAAATACGAGTCATGGATCTCCTTCTTGAGCAGTGTTCGCTACTGGATGGCATTCAACATTGAGCGGGCTTGCCAGTCCTACTTCGGCTGTGTTCAGTGCATCAGCGGGCCTTTAGGAATGTACCGGAATGCCCTCCTACATGAGTTTCTTGAAGACTGGTACCATCAGACCTTTATGGGATCCCACTGTAGTTTTGGGGATGACCGTCATCTTACGAACAGAGTTCTCAGTCTGGGGTATTCAACAAAATACACTGCACGGTCCAAGTGCCTTACAGAGACACCCATTACATATCTGAGGTGGCTCAATCAACAGACTCGATGGAGTAAATCGTATTTTAGAGAATGGCTTTACAACTCGATGTGGTTCCACAAGCATCATCTATGGATGACTTATGAGGCTGTGATCACTGGCTTCTTCCCGTTTTTTCTCATTGCAACAGCAATTCAACTCTTCTACCAAGGAAGACTGTGGAATATTTTGTTGTTTTTACTCATTGTGCAAGCAGTAGCCCTGATTAAATCATCATTCGCCAGCTGCCTAAGAGGCAACATTGTCATGGTGTTCATGTCGTTCTATTCAGTACTGTATATGTCAAGCCTGTTGCCAGCCAAAATGTTTGCAATTGCCACTATCAACAAATCTGGCTGGGGAACCTCGGGGAGGAAAACGGTGGTGGTGAACTTTATTGGTCTGATTCCAATAACAATCTGGTTCACCATCCTCTTCATTGGGATCATATACACAATAATCCAACAGACTAAAAAACCTTTTCCTGAATATGAACAAGTTGTTCTGATCATTGGAGCCATTGTTTATGCCAGTTATTGGGTCATATTACTGACATTATATATTGTCCTTATAAACAAATGTGGGAAAAGGAAAAAGGAGGCACATTATGACATGGTTCTGGATGTATGACCTGAGGAGACCATGCACCGGTTACCACTGAACCATGTTTTGTTTTGTGTTTTTAATGTTGCTGTTTACAAAGATTTTCATATACAGAAAAGCTCTGGTGGTGAAATTGGTTGAGTTTAACCACAATGGGCAAAGACATGCAAGTGACTGGGCCCATGTAGGTAGGTGTTGGCCTTCCTATATTACCTAGGTCCATGATATCTTACATGTTAGGTTGGAAATCTGCTAGGGTAGGCTAACTAGCAAGATTGCATGCATCATTGCAGTAGGCACTAACAGTGCTAGGCTTTGTGATAGTAGCTACCTCTTAACCTCGTCATATCCACTGTGCTTCCGACTCACATTTGAACTCAAATAAACTGCAGATTTTCAACCTCCTCCATTGAGGTTTAACTTGACCACTACAAATTTTTACCCGCAGAGCGTCATTGATGTACAACCTTCATAAAGGACATTTCTCCTTTAGAAGTGAGTCACAACTGCAAGTTTGTTTCTACTGTCAGGCATTTGAATCTTGAGTCTTGAGTAAAGAAGCAACAGCCTTATACAACTGGTGAAACGTTTCACATTGGACACTTTAACTGAATAAAACAATTGCTAGGTTGAACAAAAACACTCTGCCTCTCCTCAGTGCAACTCATAAAGTTGTGTTGAGGATAACATATCAGTGTGCCTATTCAGTGTTTTCATCTGTCTTGGCAATAGAACCAGTTTACAAAGCACAAAGAGCTTTAAAATGGAGAGCTGCTTTCTGTCTTGTGTAGCACTCATGTCATATGGGATGTATCCAAAGAGCCATCCATTACCTGCACCTGTTAGAAAGGGTCAGGGATTGTCTAGGGTGTATTCCATACCTAGAGGGAGTTGTCAGTAAGAAGGTATGAATGCAGGACCATCTTACTATAAAGAGGAAAATGTATGGGTCCTTCTGTGGGTCTGACATTGACTTGCAAGGCCTACTTTTCTACTTTTGCCAAGAAAACGAAGCACTTGTCATATTCGTCACATTGAGTTGTACTCTGGAGAGCAACTTTTAAGGAATTTATAATAGTTTGTGCCAAACCTCCCTATGTGATCCACAGATATTTGCTGAAGTTGTATTTTTGCAAACCTGGATGGCCTTTAAAAAGTTAATTCAGTCTACATTATTATTGAATGTAATGTATTGAACACCGACAAATACGGAATGTTTGTATTTATCCCCATATGACATGAATGCTGAATTTCTCATTGTTTACAAGGTGAAGAATCTCTAAGTCTTTGGTAGACATCATTGCCACCTGATCAGGTGACCACATGAACATGTGACCACAAATGAGAGACTTTGTATTGCTGCTGTGACTTATTGTTTTAGTGCAAAAACAGAGACTTTTATTTCTGTTTTTCTGGAATATGACATTATGTTGCATACATGTTATTTTTACCAATCATTTTTTTAATGTTTTTATATGTTACCAGCAAGTGAACAAAGTAAATGTGACCCAGTCCAAAGACTTCATGATTTTGTCTCTCCACATGCTTTTGATCCCTTTCATACTTTACAATACTGTACTAGGAATATGTGGGTACATCTTTGTGGCATGCTGGATTGTGTTTAATGACCTTCCAAGGAATGAAGAATAGCAATTTGCCTCCGCTACATATAAGAGGAAGCCTGTCTGAGTGGGAAGAGTGCTTCCTAATCATAGGAATCTGAATAAGGACAACTTACAAGCAAACACCTGTTTGGGATGAAATAGGTCCATTGTTTGCCATGGATCAGAAGCAGATACATATTTAAATAATATGCACTTTTATGTCTCTTCTGTCCTCCAGCATGATGCTTGACATTACCCAAAAAAATAAATACCTCTGTTTTTGCATCAAGGTGTCACAATGCTGTCCAAAGACTGATGCATCATGATGGTCTGGAGAAATTTATCGTCCTATTTGTCATGTTGAATATCAAACTGTACATTTTGATTAGAAATAAGAAATTTTATGACTTGTTTACTTTTTACTGTAGCAGTTAAACTATGTTTTTGACTTTTGTATTCTTTGTGGTATTTTAAATAGACATTTTCCCTATTTTTACATATCTACCAAAGTGTTTTTACAGTCATAATTGTTAAAAAAATGTATTTGTTCTTTACACTGTTCCAACAGTTACTTTTATATCTGACCAAAAATGTGAAATTATGACCTTGGGGGGAATTGTCTGCAATAACAATGGTAAAATGCAATTTGTTGGAATAAGTTATTGTTTTTTTTTAATATTTTTTAACAGTTTATGAATGGAAAAGCATGATATTTATTTATTCTGTGATTTGTAGGATTCCGTTACACAAGATGGGTATTTCTAGTGAATATCTTAGGCCCTTAAAATTACATGTCAACCCTTCAAAAACAAATAATGCGTTCAGTGTTGTAATCTCAACATTTTTCATCATTAAAGATCTATGAAATCTTGGCTGGTTTATTTATTTATTTATTTATTTTCAGTTCTTTTTAAGGAAACTGTCACAGTTTTATTTTGACAAGAGATTTTAATTAAGTTTGTTTAAAATTTCTTAGAATTTTTGTGACATTTGGACATCCAATTTGTTTTAATTTGAATGTATTTTAGTCGACTAAACCTTTTTAACTGTAAAACACAACCATTTATAAGCATATAATATTTATATATTTGATACAATTCAGATCGACGGCAAAAATCAGTCCCACACCCAGGGCCATTCCAAGATATTTGGGGACCCAAGGCAAACAGCCTACATAAATAAACCATAAAAGCCCTTATCTTGACTGGGGTGTGTGAAATGTGCTTTAAAATGACTTGTTGTGATAGAGGCTCTGTTTTGATTGATTTGATTGAGTTCTTGATGTAGGCTTGATAGCTTAAATATATTGAAGGATCCTTTATTGTTCTGGATGACTGCGCCATGGAAATAAAGTGTTTTTATTAACACTGAATGAAAGGGTTTAGTTATTTTTGAATCTTCCCTTTGAGTGTATTTAAACTGAAGAAGCACCATAAAAGGAGGTGATATTGGGAGCGCTGATCCAGAAATATCTAATAACCGAAACGAATTAGTATTTGGCTGAAGGGAAGAGGATGGGTGAATATAGGTTCAGGCTTACTGTTATGTAGAGAGCCCCACTAGTCCAGGGGTGAGGGAGAGTTCAGGTCTGGAGGTGGCCATTTTATAGAAGAGTTCCTGCAGGTTTTCTTGGGAAGGTTAGGTCAACGGAGGGGACAGGTGAGCGGTGGAGAGTGAGACAGTCAGGAAAGAGGAGTGAGGTGTGATCCAGGAGTGAATCTGTGAGTTATGGATGGAAGCAGGGATCCTGGAGGCAAGGCGAGAGACAAACAGGTGATCAAAAAAACATTGAAGAACAGCAAGAGACTTAACTTGCAACTATGGAAAAACTCAAGGATTGGCTAGCAACACCGAAGGAAGGTAACACCCAAGTTGGATAATCATCCAACAAGGTGTCTCACTCCTCCTTAAGTACCCAGGCCGGTTGATGGTGAGTCCATCATCAGCTGCCCGCTCCTCGGTACCGCACACCTGCAATAGAGCTCTCATGACAGTTACAGGAGACCACTTATCATAGACCATGCTAATAATAGATGCTACTCAACCCAATCAATATTTTCTCTATTAACTAGAATGTTAATTTCCCTTATATTGTAGCCCCAATGAATAAATGACTGATGCTTATCAATGTTTACATATTTATGTTATTTTTATTTATTTTAAAAGAATGTATGACATTTTTTTTCTGAATGTGGACAGTAGTTGGGACGGGAAGAATAACTGCAGGAATAATTAATTCAAGACACAGAGGAGAGTCTCCAAGTCTGACATTAAACTACTAATCTTAGGTTAAGTATCTGTTTTCTATGTACTTCTGAGTATAAACAGTTTTCTTCATTTACTGTCAGACTTCCCCAGCTTGCTTTATGTGCTGGCAGCAACAATAGAAACTTCTCAAGGTAAGGTGCTTTTGCATTGAAAATAGTCAAATAAAGTGGGGATTTCTAAAATAGATTTTTCCATTGTTATCTTGAATTTAGTGACTTTAGACTGACAGCAGAAAAAATAAAGTCTTAAGATAATAAAATATCATAGAACAAATGAAAGATGATTACAAATATGAGTTTAAAAGAAGAAAACAAAAGATTTAGGTAAAAGCAGTTTTAAATAAAAGGGTCTTTAGTTATTTTTTAAAAGTGTCCAGGCTGCCAATGCTACATAAGGATAAAGGAAGATCCTTCCAAAGCCGGGGTGCAACAGTCTGGAAGGACCGACCACGTTGACTTTAATATCTGGCCTTACCCCCAAATTCCACTACCTCCGCTCCGCTGCGCTCCGCTCCGACACGAACGCCGGAGCAAAATCGGTCCCGTTGTAGTCAATCAGAGCAATTCCACTACTGCGGCCGTGCTCCGGCAGTGCGGCGCCCTCTGTTCCGGCGTCCGGCAAAAATAGAATCGATCCTATTTTTGCCGGACGCCGGAGCACCTCCGCAGTAAATGGACAGAAATCACAATGGCCCAACAGGAAAAGGAGCAAGCACAATTTCCGTTTTTCACAATAAATCGATAAACAAAAGGCGTTTTTTGTTTCATATGCACAGGTTTAACAACTTTTAACAACTATCAATGGCGGCTGAAGTTTAAATGCACAAAAGTAAGCCATAAATACAGTTTCTACTATCAAAGTAGACACACTTTGTTGATCCAAACACTGCTGATCTCTCAACACAAATGATGGGCAGATTAAACAGTTCATGCCGATGCTTCTCCCACACAACGGGTGTTTGGATCTAACTTCGGCGTTTATTGCTCGGACTGTATCGCAAGATCTCGAAAATCCCGCGCATGCTTGTTTGCCCCCCTCAGGTCTCCGCACCGGAGCGGAGCCGTTGTAGAGCGGGTACCAGTAAAAAATTGAGTTCGGAAGCCAGCAGCTGCGGAAGGCGGGGGCGGACCGGAGCGGAGCGGAGGTAGTGGAATTTGGGGGTTAGGAACTTCTAGAAGGTTCTGGCAGGTGGACCTGAGGGCTCAGGCTGGACCATAAGGCTTTAACAGTTCAGTACTATAGGGAGGAGTCTGACCGTGTAGAGCATTGAATGTTGTAGTCAGGATTCTAAAATGAACTCTAAAGTTAACAGGTAACCAGTGCAGACATCAGAATAGGAGTGATGTGAGCTCTTCTGTTTGCTCCAGTTAGGAGCCTCGCGCCAGAGTTCTGGACCAACTGAAGGCGGTCAAGGTTTTTTTTTTTTTTGTTAAAACATGTGAAGAGTGTGTTACAGTAATCTAGATGGGAGGAGATAAAGGCATGGAGAACCATTTCAAGTTTATGTTGTGACACCAACCTTCGCAGCTTGGAGATATTCCGTAAGTATTAAAAACAGTTTCGGACCAATGTTTTTGAGTGGCCTTCAAGAGACATTGACTGGTCAAAAACAACACCCAAATTCTTTGAGTTTGTCTTGATGGCAGAAGTTAAATAACCAGGTTTTTGTCTATCAGGGGAACCATGCTTTCAGGGGCAATGATCAGACATTCAGTCTTTTCAGTGTTTAACTGAAGGAAGTTATCTTCTAGCCAGCTGGTGATAGCTGATAGACACTCTAGTAATTCACACAGTTTGCAGAGCTCAGAATACTTAAGGGAACAGTACAGCTGAATGTCATCTGCATATAGGTGATAAGAGACATTATGAAAAGAATCAATTATCTATCAGTCCAAGAGGGTGTGTGTACAGTAGAAACAACATGGAAGAGTGAATGGCCAATCCGATGTTTAAGATTTTCTCATAGAAAAAGGATGCAAACTCGTTACACTTAGATTGGGACATGAAATCAGGAGCCGAATGTGTTGGTTGATTATTCAGCCTCTCGACAGTGGCAAAAAAAAGAGAACTATCAATGTTGTTATTGATCTCTTAAGAGAAAAAGGATTGTCCTGCCTTATTTAATTAAAAGTTGCAAGTACGCAGCTGCTGTCTGTAGGACTGATTGTGATCAGGAAGGTTACTTTCCTCCATTTACTCTCAGCTCAGCGGCATTCTCTCTTTTGGTTTGTAACTGATTTAGTGAACATCCGTGGAGCTTTTTGTTTGCCAGAGATAATTTTTACCACCAAATAGTAAGCATGTCAGGTCTGCTTTAAACTTTAGCTTATTTAAAAACTAACCAAATTAATAACATCATTCAGCGTGGTAAAAAAAATAACTACTTCGCAGAGGTGTGGACTTGCGTCACATGACTTGGACTCGAGTCAGGCTCAAGTAATTATTTTAATGACTTCTGACTTGACTTGATAAAAACTATAAAGACTTACAACTTGACTCAGACTTGAACGCCAATGACCTGCGACTTGAATCGACTTGCATCTGTTGACTTGATGATGACTTGCGCATGTTTGATATTTTAGCACAAAAGTTGCACGACATGGACAAAATCATCAATCATTCTTTGTTCTGGGTTTTATCTTGGTCTGCTAAATGCAGCAGCACTTTGTTTGTAATCAGTTTCAGTTGCACTTTCTGCTTGTTTGAGCAAATAAATGAAGCTTTAAGAAGTTTTATTTCTGGAATTGATTTATTATCATTACCATTAAATTGAAGTTGGACAGATGACTTGATTATGACTTGAAAATTCAAAGTTAAGGACTTGGACTTCCACATCATTGACTTTGGACTCAACTTGGACTTGATTGTCTTTGACTTGAACTTGACTCGAGAATTGAATGGAAAGACTTGTGACTTACTTGTGACTTGCAAAGCAGTGACTTGGTCACACCTCTGCTACTTCATGACCACGTCTAAAAAAAATGTTGTGATGAAACACAAAAAGCGAGAAACTTAATCATTTGTTTTCAGTCATCTAACATCAGAGAGGGACAATGGATGGGCGAACAGAAGAAAAGAAGGAAAGAAGTGCATCAATTCTATTAGTTCCCAGTGTAGATTTTGGGGCAGGGAACATTCCTTCTGATTGATTTGGGTTCTTTACAGCTGACTGATTCTCTACAGCAGAGAACACAAACAAGCAGTCAGATGCGGGGCTGCAGGCCAGATTGAATATTACTGAACAACAAATACCATTTCATATCAAATAAACAGTGAGGCAAAAAAAGTATTTGGCAGCCACAGGCAAGGAAGGAGCGATGGTGAGATCACGTGATCCCAAGAGCCTGCAAAAAGACCTGGTGATGTCTTTTATGATGTGAGCAAATAGATCTAAATAGATGCTGGTGCATGAAAAGGGTTAAACACTTAGCGCAATGTCTTATATTATGACATCATCACAAAATAAAACGTGTTTTCTTCTACGTTATGTCATGATACCATCGCTGCCTCCTCTCTCTCTCTCTCTCTCTCTCTCTCTCTCTCTCTCTCTCTCTCTCTCTCTCTCTCACACACACACACACACACACACACACACACACACACA